ATGTTGCACCTCGTGTCTATTTCTACGTGTTTTTAACCTTTAAGATTTTTACCAGCAGAAGTCGTAAAAAAACCCTTCTGTCTTGAACAATTCTTAGATTGCTTGCCAACCAAGGTGTGTCTCAATCTTGACACTGCAACTTAATGTAAAAATCCTGAAGTTATTTTGTACCAATATGAATTTCTACTGCCCCCAACACTGTGTAGTGACTTCACTGTAAATTAACTTCTTTTCTACAGATTTTTGAGCTACCAGGTGGATTAATTGAAAAAGTCGAATCCTGTTAGGAACCAGTCTACGTGATGTTGGTAGCCTGTGAAAAATGAATGTCTCTTTTTCTTATACAAATTGGTAACAAGACTTGCTTTCACAATTCCTTTTTACATTTTTTGTGCATATGATACCTGTATATTATACTCATATTCTAAAGTGACCAGAAAGTGTTATTTAATAGAAATTACATACATTTTTTATGTCTCTATGGACCCTTTGATTCTGGGTACATTTACAATAAGTTATGGTAATAGGCTATTCTTTTCAATTATGAATAAAAATGTACATTGAAGTAAAAGATGGCTACTGTTTTTAATGAGTTCTTCTCCATCATGGTGTGTATCTATGATAGTAAACTTGGAAAAGGCCTGCGTCTTGAATGTCCTCTCGTTCTTCAGATTTCAAGGGCTTACCCTTCTATCTCATACACAAAGAAAAGTTAGGTCTTAGGCTACATGACTATAGGAAACCCAGTCCCTTTCCCACGGATTTCCAAGCATCCCTGGGGAGGGTTCAGATGGTCCATGAATCTACCCAGGTGTTCCGTGTGGAGGCCCGCTGCAGACAACTGCTCTGGACTTCTCTGCCAGTGACTCTGACTTTCTCAGAACTGCTTCTTGTCCCTGCAGCTCACTCCAGGCCACCTCTTCCCAAAGCAGGAACTCAGGCTCTCTTTTTATTTCTCAAGTAAAGCTGAAAAAAACCTTTGTAACTAATAAATTTGACTAAGGTTTGATGATAAGTAAAGAGATTACATCCCAGAAAAGAAAAGCTTAAAAGTGCATCTCAGATACCAGTGGGCCAGCAGTGGTTCTGAATTCCCTCTCACAGGATGGTCTTTGTCAGCCCCTCTCTTCTTAGCCCCCTGCCTGCTATCTCCTTGCTCCTGGGGAGACCTGCACACTGTTGATTTCTGCACTGGTTCTGGGTCGTGCTGCCAAATACCCTCCACTTCACCCTCACTGGGGAGCAAAATCTCCTTAACATTAGAGTAATCGCCACAGAGGTTATTTAAGAGAATACTGTTATTTATATTTATTAACAAAATCCTTAGCATCCAGCCTGAAGCTTGTGTGCTGGGATTCTGTCCCCAGATCAGTTTCCTCTAAGAACAGTGAGTGAATTTGTGTTGAACCAATAGAGTAGCACCTCACAGAGGGTTCATCCCAGAAAAAAGTCAGGGAGGGGTGGTGGGCACGTGGAAACTTTACAATTTTTCTGTTAATTCTAAAACTAAGTTATTAAAAAACCACATGGGGAGGCTTGTTTAAGTGGTATATTCCAGATTCTACCCTTAAAGATGCAAGCACAACATAAAAATTATAAATTTTTTGTCCCTATTTCCATTTATCAAAAAGATTAAAATATAGTCTAGTCTCAGAACACCCATATGCTTACAAGAAGAATAAGGAAAAATCTAAATTGCTGATCTTATTGCCACTTCCCTCATCTAGACATTTGAATTCTTATGCCTCATTGGACAAATAGAAATCATATTAGATATTCCTATAATCTAATCGTGGCTATCAATTTAAACAAACCAGCATATATTCTCTTCTTACTCTAAGTGGATGCTGAATTTTATTTTTCTTCTACTTTGTACTTATGTCAAATTAACTTAAATATCATCGCTTAGCCCCCCCTCTCCAATCCCACTGCCACCGCCTCAGTGCTGGCTCTCACCATCTCTTAATTAAACAGCCTCTTAATGGAGCTTAGACGCTCTACTTTTCCCCCAAACTCTGTTTTTAATATATTTCTAAAATAACAAACCTGAGTTTTGTTATATCACCCTGCTTACAATCTTAAAATAGGGTAATGAATCAGATCCAAACTCCTTAGCTTGATATATAAGATCTTCCATTATCTGACCTGACCTACATTATCAGCCTCGCCTCTCACTACTTCCTTTTTCACACCCTGTTTGTCTCTTTCACACTTTTGTCCAAACATTCCCCCTGCTTTTCATGTGTCTATTATTTGGGAGCCCTTCTCTGAATGTAGAATGCTGATACCATCTGGAATGCTAGATACATTTTACTCAGTCTTCAAGATCTAAGTCAAATGTTATCCCATTAAAAATCCACTCAACTTATAATTAAGGAGCTTGCTATGTGATGATCCTGAATCACCTAGCAGAATTGGTCTCTCTACACTCAAAGAACTTTGGTCCTGCTTCCATAATTATGCATTGAACCCTAACCACACCTACGTCATTGTTAGTTTTCAGTGCTTTAGAAATATGAATCACGTTAGCTTTTTTGGCAAGCATGTTACCCTTTTCCTTCCCATTAATTCTTCCATCACCCAGAGCCATAAAGTTAGGTTTTCCCCCCATATACTACGTTAACTGAAAACTCCCCATTCTGCATCTGTGCAATTGGTTTATTGGGCTCAATTTCAGGTATTTATATTATATTGGCTACTATTAAACTTAATTTTGTTAGATTCAGCCAACCATCTCAATTTGATGATATCATTTTGAGTTCTGATTTTTTAAACCAACCTATCAGTTATTCTTCTCAGATTCATGTGACCTACAAATATTCAAACAACTTTTTAACCGGAAGTTACAAATTATTGAATAGGGCAAATTAGAAAGTGATTATCGCCAAATTATCACATTATTCCCATCAATCAGGCCCCAAATGTCACCTTGGAATCTGAGTGATACACTACTTTAAAGTACCATTCTGGAACCCAGATTCAGCATTTTCCTAATGTCTCTAAAGCAGTCTAAAATATTAATTTTATGAAAAAGAAATAGTATCTCTGACCTGAGGTGTTGATAATTCATATTGGTTCTTAAAGACCACGGTTGGTTTTTGCAAGATAGTATAAGTAATATCTGAGCATCTTAGCTGGTATTTCCACTAAATGCACCAGTTTATGATTTTTAAAATCCATTTTCTTTCACTTTTTGCAAATTTCCATTGTGATTGACCGTAAAGGTGTCTTCTGGCACCCCTCCTCCTGTGAGATCCTCCCACTCACCCAGAGGAATGGTCTTGCCTGCAGGTTTATTGAGCCAAACAGAAACATTCCTCCATTCGAGCGGTTCACATTTTGAGTCTTTGTGTCTTGAAAGGTTACAGAGTGGGGGGCCAGTTAGATCTTTTCTTCAACCGTATGAGACTTCAACTAACAATTACCAGTGTTTATCTGGTAAGTTATCCTTCTTACCAGAGAAAGTGAAGAAATGCTAACCATTAGCCATTTGCAATTATAAAATTTCCTTGGTCTCTAGCAGGCCTCAAGGAGCTAATATCTTGATGAGGAAAGGGAAATCCAAAAATCACATGGTGGGTAAACTTGGAGCAAACCGGTAAACAAATTAAAAATAAATTCAGATTGTGATAAGTTCCATGAAAACGGTGGGGGATTGGAATTGGCCACCCCAAGATATGCCTCTTTGGCATGAGGATTGTTTTGGGCTGGTTACTTTTAAAAACTGCAGACAGGAGAGAAACTCTGAAAAGTAGAAATTACCCTTTGTTATGATATATTTACATTTGTAAGAGAAATCTCCATCTGTAAAGCTGTCTCCCTCTCTGTACCAGGAAGAAGGAGGGATGACCTTGTCTCTAAAAACTCTTATGAATGTGGAAGGCAAGGACTTAAATCTGCATAATAACCTTACTCTTGCTTATTGAGCTTTTCTGGTAATCTCCCATAACTGATTCCTCCCACCCCCAACATCCTCCTTTGTCTTTCACTGAGGATGCTATTTAAGGTGAGAGCTTCCACCATTTTGGTGAGTTGCTCAGTTTTTCTGGGTCTCTCATGTATACATGTTATAAAGCTTTGTTTAATTTTCTCCTGTTATTCTGTCTCATGGGACTTTAATTCACAGTCTGGCCAGAAGGACCTAGAGTGGGTAGAGGAAATGTCTACCTTCCCTACAAAACATAAACAGAATGATGTGATGGAGAGTAAATGGATGTGACACAAGGCCCTTCCTTCAAAAGAGTGGCTGGGTAACATCTCTAATTTACTTGTAAGTACAAAGACTGTGAGATGGGAAAGAGGGGGACACAATCAAGTTACTGAAAGGAGCCCTCCGTGGTTGGAGTATAGAGAGAGCAGAAGAGAAGTACAAGAAAAGGTTGGGAAGTGGGAGGTAGGAAGTAGACAGATTCAGAACCTTGTAAGTCAATGTAAATTGAGATTTTATTCAATAGGAAACTACTGGAGAGCGTTAGGCCCTGACTGGCCATGGGTAAGTTAAGTCACCTCCAATGTTACCTCTTCGGGTAACAAATACCAGCAAATACTAGGAATTGCATGCAACTTTAAACACCAGAATTGTTGGCAAAGAACAAAGGTACTGCACTATTCCTCTTACTTAAGCAGAAATTTTATTTTATTTAATTTTATCCCTCCCTGCCTTTGCCATCTTAATCCTTTGAGAAGACACCTGTGCCAACACAGAGCGAAGCATGTGCTTGTTCAGCTCACTGTGACACGTAATAATCCCTGACATTAGTCAATATGTTGGAAATGGAAATTCAATCATAAAAGACATTTTTCTTCCAGATTATGTAGAAATGATTTCATTAAGTTTGCTTTCAAAAAGTATTTTTCCCAAAAGCTGATGTCGCCTTCAATGGTTATGTTAAAGGGGCCTAATGAAGACCTACATGGACTGAAACATCAGCACTAATGGTGCCTGATTCTGTCTTTGTCATTTTGGTGATGAGAAATAAAGGAAGACTGGATATCTTCAGTTAATGCAATCCTTTTAGAGCTCTTTAATTGAACAATTCCTTAAGGGACAAAGTGTCCTGGGGAATAAAAGCGGCAGAAGCAATTTCCTTGAGTTACAGGCATTGTTATAGAGCAAGCATCTCAGAGAAAAGAGGAGCGGGTGGTTGGAGAGGAGGCGCTACTTAGGGTCACATCACATCTCATTCTTCAGCCACTGTCTCCCTCCTTCTCTTTTCTTCTCTTTCCTCCTCTGAGTTTCCTTCCTCCCATCACGGGAGGGAGACCAGTGACATAGTTTAATACACTCAGAAGGACATTCCAGCCTGTAGAGTAAACTTCTATTCTATTTTTTATTTCAAGAGGTTTCACAAAGAGTTATCTGACCTCTTCTAGGACGTAAGGGCAAGATTTTCATTTAAAATTGGAGAAAGCTCTAGAGCAAAGTTGAATCCTATACCTATCTTCATGCCCTCTTACCCTGAAGCATATAAGTATGTGGATGTTACAGCAACCTGCCAGCAGAGATCAGTCCAAGGAGAGAACTAACATCCAGTTGATGAGGGCAGAAAACTCCGGCTTTCTTGAGTTGCTCTCCTCAAGCCGAATTCAGGGCTCCCGGCTCATCCTGTCTTCAGGCTTAACCATGGCCTAAAGCCTTGGAGTCTTTTGCCTCCAGCTGCACAGAAGGAGAAAGAAAGAGAGTACAGGTAATTTCATGGGGAAGCTTTTAGACACCAGGCCTGGAAATGGTGCACATCACTTGTGTCCACATTCCTCAGGCCAGAACATGTTCACAGGATCCCACCAAACGGCAAGGAAAGCAGAAAAATAGCATCTAGTACTGGCTCAGAAAGAAAAGGAAATAGAATATGGTACACACGTAGCAAACTCTGCCCCAACAATCTTTTACTACAATAGTTTCATTTAGTATTTTTTTCATTGTAATCAGTGTTTGTTGTATTAGAATTTCACCAATATTTAAGAAAATTAGAGGAGTAGGAACAAAAGAAATTGTCCTCAAACTTTAAGCTCCCGTAGAATAATAGTGACTGTCTTAATCTGAATCTTTGCACACATCATACAAAAGCATGTAGGTGAACAAGGAAAGTAAATGATGCCACTGTCACATTCTCTCAGGACACAACAGAGCCTCCTCTCCTGTCAGTAGAGAAATCTCTGCCCCCTTTTCTTTTCTCTCTTTTCCACCTACCATGACCCCTTGGCCTCCTCCTCTTTTGATACCCACCCACTCCTCAAGCTCAGCCTCTGGCATTAGTTCTAGTTGGGCCAGATGTTGGCTTTGGGAGGATGGAGATGGGAAAATACCAAACTTTCTATTCCCTGAGTTGCATTACCTAAGGCATCTCGTGTTACGTTCTGGCTTAGAGAGGTGGAGGGATGTGAGGCAGGTGATGGGGAAAACAACTCTCCTACCCCACGGAGATAGTTTCTGCTCTATACAAGCAAGTTGAGGGCTAGGAACAAAGCATTCTTCCAACAGATCAGAAACTAAAGAAGAGTAAGCTGTATCTCAGAAACCATATTATCTGACTTCAGGTCACTAGGTCTATTTCCTTATGTTATCCCGATTGTAAACTCTTATTAAATGCATACGTTATTTGTGTGTGGGGAGGGGTGTAAGTTGGAATATTATTAATGTAAATTTGACACTATATATTAACGTTAAAGAGGTACCTATCCTTTCACCTAGCAATTTTTAGAACATTGTCCTACAGATGTTGCATTTGTGCAAAAAATTATTTATTGTTTTTAGTGAAGCATTTTGGTAGTTAAAAAGACTAGAAACAACTCAAATGCCTATTAGTAGGAAACTGCCAAAATAAATTATGGTACAGCCATACAATGGGTCATTATGCAGCTATCAGAAAAGAATGAGGAACTTTGCGTGCTGGAGGATTTCCAAGACAGCCTAAGGGGAAGGGCCACTTGTGGAAGCGTGTGCAGTGTGCTACCATGTTTGTGAAAAGGGGAATCTTATCAGTATTTGTCTAAGTGTAGAATGTCTCTGAGAGGATATAAAGAAATCAGTTACGCTGGTCACCTCATGGAAGGAGGGCTGGGGGGCTGGGGGACACAGACCGAGGAATAGACCGTTTAGACTTTCCTTTTATAATCTGTTCAGGAAAATTCAGGTTGATAACAAATAAATAGAATGTTTTGATCTTAAACCAGCAGAGCCACAGGCTACTGAGAGAAGAGTCACAGCTCCTCAACTGAGCTAGAACATTCAAGGGTGAGAGCGTGTCCTTGAAGCCAGAGTGACTGAGGCTTTACCTGGGCAGAAGCGCAGGAGTGTGGGGTGTACATTTCCTCCAGCCCCATGTGCAGAGTCTCTTTCAGGTGCCCACTCAGGAGAATCCAGGTTTTCCTTTTTCTAAGGAAGGTGGCATTTTCTTTTATGGACAATCGGACTCTGCTTTCATACAGTTTCTTCAGCTTGGCTGAAGCTCAGGGAAGTAAACAGCAAAAACAGGTGAACCATAAAATTAAGCCTACATCATGGGGATGTTAACTAAGGCCATTAAATCTGTCATTTGGGATCTAAATATTGGAGTACGACTTTGATGATACTGTAAAATTGTACCTAAAGTAGACTAATCCAGAATAATAATACAGCAAACAGCATGATTGAAAAATTTGAAAAATTACTCAAGCTTCCCAATTGGTATTTACATTAGCACATCCCCACCCTTAATGACATAAAAAGAAATAGCGTTACAGATGCTTAATGCATCAGGCCTCAACGAATCAGGAGGAAACGCAGATGTCTTACGTAGCTCTAACAACATTTTAATATTAAACAAACAAACCGCCATTAGATAGGCGTGGCAAAGGCATATCCTGCTGCCTGCTTAATCACGGGAAGTGGAGATTTCAGATGCTCGTCCTCTGTATTCTTCAGGAGTTCATTCCAAACCTCGCGGCTGCAAGGCAAGAGCCAGGAGAATTAAATACGGTAAAAAGGCAGGCAGCAGCGAGGTGAGAATTCACCCTGTGACACGGGTGAACGCTACCACGGAGGCCGCTCAGCCTTCGCCTGAGAGGGAGAGGAAGACCTTGTTCACACTCAGCCTTTGGTTGTGCTGAGTGTGAATTAGGGTTGTTTCTGAATTAAAAACCGGGAGAAGCTACACAGAACTATATTAGAAATATTATGAGATACGTAGAAGGAAGAAGAATGGAGAAGTGGGAGAGAGAAGGAGAGAGAGGGCAAGTCGACTGAGAGCTTGGAGAGGCAGAATTGAAACGAGATTGGAGTGACTAAGGAACTTTCAGAATGAACGATGTCTAGAGAGTGTGGTAGGAAATCTTCGTGTATTTGTGACAGTGAAATCACCCCCTCCCCATAGCTTCGTAAAAAAATAAAATGAAAACTTCAACCAAAAATTCATATTACTCCTCCGTGCCTTTTGGTCAGAGTTATGCATTTTTGTGTGTGTATGGTGCAGGGCTGACAGGGGTTTGAGTTGGAAGCAAGAAAGCCTCATGTTATTTGGGTTAAATTATTAAAATTGAGACTATGAGCCCAGTGCATTTTTTCAGTATATTTGGTGCTTGAGGCCATTGACACCAGCACTTACTTACTAATTGTGGTCAGAGGCTTTAAAGACCTTTGAGTCGCCATGTTTTTGTTATTTATTTTACGGAAGAGGCCACATGGCTGCCATCTTCTATAGTGAAGTTAAATCCTATTCAGGGGATTAAGTTTTAAAGTGAGTTTAAAGCAAAAGTTAAGAGTAGTCAAAATTTCCACTAAAAACCCTGTACTCACCCCTCAAGTACCGTACTCGTTGACTGTACACTCAAGTTCAGCCTCGTCAGGAGTTTCTCAGCATTAGCACACAGCTCTTCATCAGTCATTTAACGCACACGCAGGCAGTGAAGTAAGACAAAATAAAGTCCCCACCTTCATGTGACTTACATCCTAGGCGAGGAGGCAAAGAATAAGGACATGAGGAAGTATGTAAAATTACTCAGTTTTATGTGCTGTGGAGCCAAATAAAGCAGGGAAAGTTGAGAAGCAACACCAAGATAAGAGTTATAATTTTATGCGGAGTAATCAGGGGAGGTCTCATTGGGAAGACGACATTGAAGTAGAGACTGGAAGGAAGGACAGATGCGAGGGCAGCTCTCTAGGGAAGGATATTGCAGACAAAGGAGCTGTAAGTGCAAAGGTCAGATGAGGAAGTGTGCTTGGAGGGCGGGAGACACAGGAAGGAGGCCAGTGCAGCTGGCAGCTGGCATGGAGAGAGAAGGGCAGGGTGGACAGAGATGAGGTAGGGCTAGATCCCTGAGACCTAAGAGGCCAGTGCACAAGGCCACGTTACTCTGGGTGGGTTAGGAAGCAATGGGAGAGAAAGAGAGCAGAAGAGTAACATCTTGGGACCCAAGTTTCTAAAGAATCCCTCTGGCTACTTTATTGAGAAGAAACCATTGAGGAGCAAGAGCAGAAACAGGTGACAGGTAAGAAGATGGTTGCAATACTCCAGGTGAGAGATGGGGGTGGCTTTGACCACAGCGGTGGTGGCAACAGTGGTTAGAAGTGGCTGCATTCCGTGGTTCGCCAATCAGATGAGTTAGTTGATAAAAGTCTTTACAGGAGAGGGATCAAGCTGTCACCCCTGGACCTACTGATCAATCTTCCCATCCTAAGGAATGAGAAAACCAGACATCATGTCCCTCTTGAGGTGATCCAGGATGCAGTACTCATCAAAGTACTAATACATAATATTTCTGCCCCAAAATCAAAACTGCTTCCAATCAAACATGTAGAACTAACTTCCGGTTTACAGGAAATGTAGGTGGCAGACAAAATCAGAATGTGGGACAGTCCACAGGACAACTGGCCCATTTCTCCAACAAGGTGGTGGAATTTATTTTTATTAAAAATAAAAGGATTGGGGACTGGTTCAGGAAGGTTTTTTGCCTCCAGCCCTGTGTTTGCACTTAGCATTGACAGCACCTTCTGGAAGCCACTTCCTCTGAGTTCCCCTCCCCCACCAGCACCTCCACTCTCTGAACCGTCTTTACTCCTTGCCCCTGGGTTCCTGTTCTGTTCCATGAATTTTCTATTTCTAGTTATTTTCCCGCCCTGTAACCCTGTGAAGTTATACAAGAGCTTATTTGCTCGACATTTCTGAGAATCTCAGACTTAAACCTCCATAGCCCTTTTTGAATCTCCTCCATCTGCACAGTTTTCTGTACTCACTTGCAAGTATGGACCTCGTGAAGATTTCTGTTCACTGGTTGTTCTCATACCCAATCACCCAAGTCCCTCTCGGGGTGGCTCCTCTGCCTTTAGGGACAAGTGTTTTTTTGGCGATATTTGGGTTTTACAGCTAATAGGACTTATCATGTTTGCTTTTCATTTTCTACCACTCCCATCACACAACTGTCATATTGCCGGCAGCGATTAAGACAATATGTCTGAATTCTGTGACTTTAAGGATTTTCTGTCATCCAGCTTTCTCAAAGGTGGTTTCCATGGGTATTTTTTCCATTCGCTGTACAGGTTGGTCTATTTATCAGTCAGCTCCGGCTGCCATAACAAAATACTACAGACTGGGTCATTGAAACAAAAAAACAGAAATTTATTTTCTCACAGTTCTGGAGACCAGAAGTCCAAGATCAGGGTGCCAGCATGGTCAGATTCTGGTGAGAGCTCTCTTCCTGGCTTCAGACACTGCCTCTCACTCTGTGCTCACATGGCAGAGAAAAAGAAAGCACACTCTCTGGTATCTCTTCAATAAAGGTACTAATCCCAGCATGAAAGCCCTACGGTCACGACCTCATCTGACCCTAATTACCTCCCAAGGCCCTGTCTCCAAACACCATCACATTGGGGGTTAGGCTTTAAGATCTGAATCTTGAGAAGACACAATTCGGTCCTTATCAGCCTATTTGAATTTCAGAGAGAATTTGAAAGATATTTTTTAAACTACCACTGCCTCATGATAGTATCACCTAATATCTGGCAGAAATTACTACTGGATTGTGTGTGGATATGAGAGAAAAGAAAATCAAGGGGGTTCTACAGCATAGTATTCTGAGAAACGGGAAGGATGGAGTTTCCATTTACTAAGATGGGAAAGAGATGGAAGGAAAACCAGGACTTTACTGTTGCCTGTTACATCTGAGGTGCTAGTTAGATTAGACATCCAAGTGAAGACGTAGAAAAAGCAGGTAGATATGAGTCTGGAGTTCAGGAAAGGTCCAGGCTACCCATACACATTTTAAAGTAGCCAAGCTGTATTTAGAGTCATAAGACCGGAGAACACCACGTAGGTTAATGCAGAGACAGGAGAGAGGAGGTCCATGCACTAGGCCAGGCAATCCAGTGTTTAACAGTCAGAGAGGTGAGGATAAATCAACAAGACTGAGAAGCAGCAGCTAGTGAGGTCAGAAGAGAACCAAAAGAGCATGTCTTCCTGTTGCCAAGTAAACACAGTGTTTCCCTAAGGAGAGAGGGATAGTCACACCAAATGCTGCTCATAGAGCAAGACAGATGGGGCCTAGGCACTGACCATTGGACTTAGCCACATGGAGGTCATTGGTAACCTTGACAAGAATAGTTTCCATGGAGTGTCAGGGTGAAAGTACCTAAATCCAGTGGAGTAGATTTGAGAGAGAATTACAGGGGGAAAATTAAAGACATTAAGTATAGATAACTCTTTGAACAGTTTTATTGTAAAGGGATATAGCAAAGTGAAGAGGTAAGTAGAGAGATTAAGTTGAGAAAGGATTTTTTAAAAGTAAGAAATGTAACAGCATGTAAGTGTAATGATCAGAATGATTCCAGAGAGAGGGAGATACTGATAATGTAGGAAAAAGGGAACCATTTGCTAGTGCAATGCCCTTGAGTAGGTGAAAATGGATAGGTTTTGGTGCACAAGTGGAAGAGTTAGCCTCAGACGGTCAGTTGTGATGCATATACTGGCCCAGGCCCAGTGAGGGAAGGCAGAGAGTCTGTGCTCAGAGAAAGGTGACAGTAGCTGAGGAATAAGGGCCGTAGGAGTTCTCTTCTCATCCTTTTTCATATCTCCAGGTTAACAGAAGCAAGTTCATGAGCTGACGGTGAGGAGAGAGGAAAGGTGCTGGAGATTTGAGAGGAGGGATGAGAAACAGTTAACTTGGAGAACAGAAAAGGAAGCCAACTAGGGAAGTGTATCCAGATAGTGAAGCATGACTGGGGATACGCTTGGGGTCAGGGCCAATGGCAACCTGCTTGCTCTCTCTTCAGCTGAGCACCAAATGCAACAAACAACTGGTTTGCGTGTAGAGGCTGTGTTATACACAAAATACAGTAGGGTTTTTTTCTTCATTACAGTTTTTTTGTTTCGGAGTTTTTGCTGATTGTGTATGGTTAAATTTGAGAAATTAAATTCACATATGATTGTTTCCACTGAATTGCCCTTTTCACTTTATTTGTTCACCTTTCTAAGGATCATAGTTTCATGCCCACATTCAGTGCTACTCTCAATATTATCTTGCTTTCAGCAGTCTAACTACATAGATGAGAGGAGAGCAAGTCCACAAAACGTGACCATTTGTACTTCTGTTGCATGACCCTTAAGTAGGACAGACATTCATTCAAGAAAGATGACTTGAATTTCCTAGAAGCAGGTGATATTTCTCCCGCTTGTATCACAAAATTTCACAAGTGGGAAAATCATGAAACACTTGGTCCTTCATCATTTTTATCTCTTGAAAATGACTCATCACTTCTTTCCTGTTTACAAGTTAGAATTCTTTTTTAATGCTTTAAGTTTCAAAATCCAAACCACAGCATCAGGGCGCCAAGCCCAGATCCCACAGCAGGGAGACCCCTGGGCCTCATGTGGTGGAGGATACAGCAGCTCACACCCTTCATGAGGCCTCAGGACAGCGCCAGGGCTCAGGCAGTGGTCACGGTCCCGGACAAGGAAAACTCAAGTTGAGTTCACGTATGCATTTCCTATTCCTCTTAGACTTTATACACTCAAATTTCTTCATTCAAGAACTGTCTACATTCTAATCTTTAGGTTAGACCTGGGCTACAAAGTAAATAACTTATGGTCTCTCCACCTTGGGAGCTGGCTTACGGTCCAGTGGAAAAGATAGGTAATAAATTAGTGACCTCCATGGAAAGCTAGAACAGCCTGCAGAAGTTAAGGTTTATATAGAACCAAGTGTTGGTGAGGGCAAAGGTAGATTAAGCATCTTTTCAGAAGGGGTGTGGTGAAGTGGAAGATTTGGGCTGTCCCAGCTCCAACTGTGTGGCTTTAGGCAGGTTACAATATCTGAGCATCTTTCTCCTCATTTGCAAAATGTGCTAATTAAATGAGATGCTTATCAATTGCCCGGTACAGGGACTTTGCAGGTGTTCAGGAAGTATGAATTCCCTCCCCTTATTTCTGCCCTTGGACATTTGAGCTCTTGAATCATAAATAGGAAGTAAATGTCTTCAAGTTAGATAAGAGAAAATTAAGATAACAAGAGCTCAATTACAAGTTAAAGGTTATGTCTTTAGAATTAGTTGAAGATTTAGGATTAAGAGAAAGATTCCACAAAATAACTTGCCTATATTCTTCACAAATTCAAGGTTAGGGGAGACAAAGAGTGAGGAAAAGATTAAAGGAGGCTAAGAAGACGTGACAGCTAAACAAAGCATGTGATTCCAGACTGGATGGTGGATCTGAAAAAAAGCATTTTATTTGCTATAGAGAACAATAGCAGGACAATTGGCAATATTTTAATAAAGTCTGTTGATGTTGATTATTATACAGTATTATTTAAAACAATATCCTTGTTTTGGAAACACACATTGATGTATTTAGGGGTAAAAGGCAACACACCTGCAATTTAATCTCATGTGGTTTTAAAAAAAGAATATGTGTGGGTGTGTGGGTGTGTACGCATGTACATACGTGCACAGAGCAGAGAGAGAGAGAGAATGATAATGCAAATGTATAAAATGTTAACAATTGGATAATATGGGCAAAGGATATATAGGAAATCTTTGTATAATAATTGCAACTTCTCGGTAAGACTGAAATCATTTGAAAACTAAAACTGTTTTTAAATTTTTTTTTTTTTGAGGAAGATTAGCCCTGAGCTAACTACTGCCAGTCCTCCTCTTTTTGCTGAGGAAGCCTTGCCCTGAGCTAACATCCATGCCCATCTTCTTCTACTTTATATGTGGGATGCCTACTACAGCATGGCGTGCCAAGCAGTGCCATGTCCGCACCCGGGATCCGAACCAGAGAACCCCGGGCCACCGAGAAGCGGAATGTGAGAACTTAACCACTGCGCCACTGGGCCGGCCCCTAA